GCCCACCCTGGACCCCAGGGCACTGCAGCGTAAGTTCCAGGGGTCTAAGTTAGAGGCATGAAGCTGGACCACATCAGGGGAGGGCTGATGGAATTTGAAGGGATAAAGCTGCCATGGAAAAGTGGGGTAGGGGGAGGTGCCAGGGCCTTGGCAGACACAGGGTGCCCAGAAGGCCCTGGAGATAAAGCCCAGGCCGCAGATTAGCCCTGGGATTAGCCCGGCCTCGGCTGCTCCTGGCTGCTTCTTATCTCATGGAGGCCCAGAGCCTTCTCCCCCGCAGCTCTGAGCCCTGGCCCTGCTAATTGCTTGTTAACCCCGTGAGCTCTGTAACTGCAGGGAGGATGAGGGGGTGGGGAGGGATGGGGGAGAATGCGAGCCAGCCGGCCAGGGAGAGCTTTTCAAGGAAATGGGGGCTGTGGACAGATGGAACTCAAGGGACTGAGAGAGAAGCCACCACTCACAAACTCTGGACAGATCTTCCCCAGCCCCTGATCGTTATCTGGGGCAGACCTAGAAGATGGGGCAGGGAAAGGAGGGAAAGTCTCCTGGGGAAGGGTTCTTGGCTTGGGGAGGCAGCTTCAGGCCCAGGGGAAAATCTAAGAGGAAAACAAGAGTCAGAGACTAGACACCTAGACTAGGGGATAGACCGAGGGGAGAGCAAACAGGATAGAGATGCAGTGGGCAAAGGAAAAGAGAGGCTGGGGGCAGCCAGGCCAGTGAGAGGGATGACAGAGGTCAGGGGGATGGCAGGCTGACAGAGGGCAAGGGACAGAGGCAGAGATAAGATGGATAATTGATCAGTCAGGCCAGGAGGATAGAGAGGGACTTGAGGACATTCTAAGATCAGGAGACAGAGACTAGGAAGATGGACAGATCCAGGGCAGGGTCCAGACCAACACTAAAACAGAGATGGTCCAAGAGGGATGGGTAGAGGGCTGGCTGGAAGGAGGGTGGTGGAGGGGTCCCAGGGGCTGCCTTCAGTGCAGACATAGTCCTGTCTAGAAGCTGTCCAACCTACGGACAGAGGGGCTCAGCCTAGGGTCAGGAGGGTGGACCTGGGAGCAAAGGCAGAGAGCAAGGGAGGGCAGAGAAGAAGGAGAGCCAGTCGGGAGGAGTAGGTGGGCTCTGAGATGGGGACAAGCCCCAGAGGCTGAGGGCTGGGTTAGGGTGAGAGGACCTGGAAATAGCCTCTTGGCCCATTAGGGCACATTCTGGCCCAGGACATGCCCCTTTCCATGGCAAGACTCTGGACCCTCAACTCCTGTTCACCCACCCTCCTTCAGGGCCAGTCCGTGGGGAGAGAGCAGTGGACAGCCAGTGGGACCTTGTGGCTGAGCAGCCGTGCCGTCTCCATGGAAGAGACTGTGGGCTGTGCCGCCACCAGAGTTCTGCCACTTAGGAGCTGGCGTCTCCACTTGCCGCTGCCTGCCTGGCCCAGGGACCGTCTCCAGGGCAACGCTCTGCTCTGCCCAGCAGTCAGGCCTGACCCGGGCTGTGCAGGTGGCCTGGCCCTGCCAGTCTGGCCTATCCATTCCCTGCAGAGTATTGTCCATCAGACCCAGAGTCCTTTCACCCATCTCCCTTTGTCACCCCAACTCTGCACAGTCGCCTCAAGGGCAGGGGTACCATGTGGCCATCCCCATCCAAAACCTTTAGAGCCAAAGCCTTCCAGGTTGGCTCTTCCCAGCACAGGGCTGGGCTCAGCATCACATAGCCTGTGGCTATGTGTCTAGGTTGGAGGTACCACATAGGGAGGCTGCCCCAGCCCCACCCAGGTTCAGGATCCTACCAGTCATTCACTTACATCCACCAGGTGATTTATAAGCACTAACTCTACTTTGACATCAGGTTCAGTTCTACTTGAATCTCTACTATTGTTTACTTGCTGTGTGCCCTTTGTCAAATTACTTTCCCTCTCTGAACTTCCTCATAATGAAATACGGGGGCACCAATGGTTACCTTATGTGGTTTTCTTGGAGACTCAAAGAAGAAAATAGATCAAAAGTACCAGCATAGGACCTGGTACAAAATGGGAATGTTTGATAATGTTCACTTTGCTTTCCTTCCCCCATCTCATGCCTCTTTCTGCAAATTGCCCTGGGCTCTGGGGATGTCAAAATGGTGAACCAGGGTTGCTGGCCTCAGGGAGTCCACAGTCTCAAGGGAGACCATGACAATGCCTGGGGTTAGGTTCAACCAAGGTGGTGCTGTACACTGCGGGGCACGAGTGAGCAGCTCACTGCTGTCCCCAGCGCAGCCCAGGCCTTGTTTAGCCTTCCAACTGGCCACATCAGCAAGAGCCGATTCCAGCATCTTCTTTGCCTGAAATAGGAAGGGGGGAGTGCTTTGAGATTTTGGGCAAATACTTATGTATGCCCCCCATCTGCCTTTCCCACAGCACTGAGAACCCAGGGATCTTGCCTCAGACCCCTTTAGGGTTCTTCTCCCTCCAGTGACACGTCGAGAGTCGGGCTGTCTTGATGGACTCTTGCCCTTCATCTAGGGCCTTTCTATTCCAAGTGCGGTCCTTGGACGAATAGGTTGTTAGAAATGTAGAATCTCAATCCTGCCCCCAGCACACGTTTACTGAATCAGAATCTGCATTTTAACAACAGGTATTCTGTGCACACATTAAAGTTTGAGAAGCACTGATCTTGGAGACCTTGGCAAATCAGCCAGCTTCTCCAACTGAGGCTAAACTGAGGAGTGTCAAGCTTCCTCATCTGTAGGATGTAACATGGTTCTGAAGATTCAATTGGAAAGAGTGCATTAAGCATTTAGCGCAGTGCCTGGGGTGGAGCGGATGTTCTGGGACTGTCAGCAATGCCCACTCCTGCCCCACAGATGGACACACAGTAGGGAGCTGGAGTAGACAGTGTCAAGGACTGGAACCCAGAAGCTGGCAAGGGTGCAGAAGGAGGAGGGGAGGGACAGGTGAGGAACTGAATTGAACGGTAGCAGATCTGGAGAAGAGAGTGAGAAGGGTGTAGAGGAGTGGAGTGGAAGGGAAGGAGGGGTAAGAGAAAAGGGGACAGGTGTTGGGTGACACTCCTGTCTCATTTCAGGTAGATGGGTTGACAGGAGCTGGGGCTTGGGGTAGGGTAGGCTTGGGTTGCCAGCAATGGATTGTGGAAACATCTTGAGTCTTGCATCTGGAGGGGTTCCACCTCTCCCACTGACTAGCTGTGTGACGTTAGGCAAATCACAGCACCCCTCTGAGCTGTGGTTGCTTCATCTGTAATCACCGGGCTAATTAAACCCACCCGATACCAGAGTGACTAAGGCGATGAAGTGGGGCAGCAGTAGATGTTGCCATGTTTTGTTAACTGCACAGTGCTTGTTATGTGTGTGCTTTTGTTTTGAGAATCTGAGGCAGGGTGTTGGTGTGAATGAAAAACTGTACAAGAGGAGAGCGTAGCCAGGGCGATTAATCTAGCGGGGATGGAAGACAACCCTGCCCCGCCACAAGGGCGGCCCCAGGCCCCCAGTTCTTAGAACTCCTCACTCCCACAGCCCTCAACTCAGCCCTTTCCCTTCCACACCCTCCCTGTGGAGCTAGGCATTTCAGAATCTTTCCCTAACCCTGCCTTGTGCCTTTTCTCCCAGCTTTTACCAAAGTGAAAATGTTCCCAAGTAGAGGGGAGGGAGAGAGAGAGAGTGATTGAGTGCACCGACCCCTTACCCCCAGGGAAGGTGCTGCCTGTGATGGGTTTGACCCTGGGGCTGGTCCCTATGGGGCGAGCCTGGCAGAGGGGAACTTCCATCCGCCTCTCTCTCAATCTCCTCCCCACCCCAGCTGCTCTCAACTCCCAACTGCAGCTGTGTTCCCAGCCGGAGACTGTTTGTATCTCCGGGGCGCCGGCTCCATCTGGTGTCCATGCTGGAGAACTTTTTGCAAAGGATGCTTATTAAAGCATCCCTGTGCCCTGCTCTGGGCCAGGTGCTGGGGACAGCAGACGGGCTCATTGCCCGTGTGCAGCATAAACTCAAGTGAGGAGAAGCTGGATATTGAACACAGGGGCAAATAGACAATCATCTCAGGTCTTTTTTATTGAAGTACAGTCAATTACAATGTGTCAGTTTCTGGCATACAGCATCATCTCAGGTCTTGATGAGTACTTTGAGCAAATCAACAATCACATTGTGGGGGGAAGACGATGCTGTGTGGTATGAGTCTGCATCTGAAGAAGGGACATTTAAGCTGAGGCTTAAAGGATGAGCAGCTAGCCATGCCAGTTGTAGGTGAGGGGCATTCCAGGAGAGGGAACTGAATAAACAAAGGCCCCAGGGAGGGAAGTTGTTCCATAAGTTTGAAATTGTCACAGAGATCTGGGAGTGGAGAGGCAGCAGAGAGAGGCAAAGGTTTCCTCACGTTGGAGACTTTCAGGCAAGGGAAGTAATTTGGTTTTATTCTCTGTAAAATGGGAAGTCATTGTTGGGCTTTAAGCTGGTGAGTGGCTTGACTGGATCCATGCAGTGTAGACCGAGCACTATGGCTACTGCGTCATGAATGGCTTGGAAGGAAAGGCAAGGAGGGATGAAGGGACACCAGTTAGGACCCGCTGCCATAAGTCAGGGGAGAGGATGGTGAAAGGGGGACACGAGGATGGAAGGAAAGTGGATAGATTCTAAGTAGATTTCAGAAGTCTAATTGCCCAGGACTGCTGCTGGATTGGATGCAGGGTGGGGGAGAGATTTCAGGGATCCTGACTTGAGAAATTAGGTAGATAGTGGGGCCCTTTACTTGGTGGTGGAAAATGGTGGGGAACAGGATTTGGGAAGATGTCAAGAGTTCTGCTGTTGATATGTTAAGCTGGAGCTGCCTTTTACTGAGGGTGTCAGTAGAAAAGATGGAGCTCGGGGGAGGCTGGGCTGTAGGTTGGTTGCTGGCATATGGGACAGGGGGCTCTAGGCAGGTCTGGTGCTCCTCACAGGGGACAGGGAAGCCTGAGCCTAAGGCATTGTCTTCCGTCTCCCCTCCTCCTCTCTCTTACCCCCAGGTCTATACTCGCTATGGGAAGTGTTATACCTTCAATGCGGATCCACAGAGCTCACTGCCCAGCCGGGCAGGGGGCATGGGCAGTGGCCTGGAGATCATGTTGGACATCCAGCAAGAGGAGTACCTGCCCATCTGGAGAGAGACAAGTATGCAGGCAGGAAAAGGACAAGGGCTCCAGCCTGGGTCCTCTCTGCCTGGGATGGGTTTCCAAAGGTCTCCATCTCCACTGTGCAGACGAGACATCGTTTGAGGCCGGCATCCGAGTACAGATCCACAGCCAGGAGGAGCCACCCTACATCCACCAGCTGGGCTTCGGTGTGTCCCCAGGCTTCCAGACCTTTGTGTCCTGCCAGGAACAGCGGGTGAGCCCTGCAAGCTGGGTCCTGGGTTGGGCCCGGCACCAGGCCTTTGGGCTCTGAGGGAATGCTGTCCAGATCTGCCCTCCAGAAACTCCCAACCCTCCA